GAACATCCCTGCACGGAAATGATCACAGACATCAACTTGCCAGCAGCGCAACTACAGGTACGCTTCCATATCCAGTCAATTTGATCTCTAAGATTCAAGTAATTTACCTGAATCTTTTTCCTTTTACGATCTTTTTCAAGTAATTTTCCTCAATATTAGACTTCCCTTCCATTAGAATTAATCAAAGCCTGGAGACGCACGGTGAAGGATCAAAGGAGGCCCACATTACGGCCTAGAGCAGTTAATTCCTTTTAAATTCTTATCCCAAATTAATTTGTTTTAAATAGATCTAGAATTTGTTTTTTTAGAATTATTGTCTGATTAAATTAACACTTAGATAGTTTTTAAACGTTTTCATTACATTTAAATTTTTGAAACTTCAAAGATTATTTTTAATGTTTTCAAAGTTATGTTAAATTGAAAATATTTAGAATATATTGAATATAAAACCAATGATACGGAAAATATTCGTCACTTTGTTTATTTTAGCCATTTATAATAATGACATCCAGGTTTATTCGTAACCTCAGTGTTATTGTTTAGGTGGCAATGGGATTATCGCTGTCACGCATTCGTTGCATTCGTGTGCTGTACGGCGAGCTTCCCTGGGGAGACACAGAGCTCGTCTTCGATGACCCGCCCCGCCGTCCTGTCCCTAAAGGCCACTGCATTGCTGCTAGGATCACCAGCGAGAACCCTGATGAAGGTTAACAGACAACACTTATCTTTATCTCATTGGAATTGATTTATTTTAAAGTTTTTTTCTGTTCATGGTTCTGTGATGGCGATGAAAAGGAATGTGTGAAAACATTAAGGTTTCTGCCAATTGCGGTATCGATTGCTAGGCGTTTACCTAAATATCAAATCGTAATTGAAATTTTTTGGTTATAATATTGGATGCTCGTATTAAAACGTTGAAGCGTGACGTTTCAGGCAATAGATGCATATTTTTGCGATGACAAAAGGTTTTTCTACAAGAATTTCTCTGTTAAGATATTTTAGGACAAAAGTTGATGAAATTCTAATATTCAGCTGTAAAATGTTTTTAGCTTTTATTTGAAAGCAGCGATCAATTTAATTCAGAAGCCTGACAATGTGACGTAATATTTCTGTTTTGACATTTTAATGAAAACTTCTGGTTTTGATATTTTAGGAGAAAAGTTAATTAAATTTAACTGTTCAGGTGTAAAATGATTGTAGCTTTAATTTGGAAGCCTGATAATGTGACGTAATATTTCTGTTTTGACAGGTTTCAAACCAAGTTCAGGTTCAGTGAAGGAGCTTAATTTCCGCAGCAGCAAGCATGTTTGGGGCTACTTCAGCGTGTCAGCGTCAGGTGGCCTACACGAGTACGCAGACTCTCAATTTGGCCACTGCTTCGCCTGGGGCGAGAACAGGGAGGACGCCAGGAAGTGAGTGACTCGAGCTCCCTTCTCTTGTACTCTCAATTATTCATTACGAATGTTGAGTTAGGTGAAGCATATTGATGGATTATCAGCTGGAAAACCGCCCTGCTATCTCATATTACAGTTTTTAGCGCATTTTCTCATTTATGGAAAAAAAGGCGCTATTTTGCTTGTCATGTCCGTCCGTGGCGTCCGTCCGTGACTTCACGTTTTCGTCGACGAGAAAATGCGCTCTCTGTCACTCACTGCAGTGAGTACTGAGTTATATTTTTTCTTGAATAGCGTTCGTGCTATTGTAATTTATATTGAATCCTGTGCCACCATGCGCGGTGAGATTTCAGTTTCTTCATCGAGTTCCATTTTATTCTTTGCAGAAATTTGATAGTAGCATTGAAGGAGCTATCAATCAGAGGCGATTTCCGTACCATCGTTGACTATTCATGGTCGTGGCCGTCCTCTGTACGGCCGTGCACATCACTGATAGTAAAATACAAGACGCTATCAATCATTTCCACAACTCTTTGGAGAAGTAAGGATACTTTGTATCAATCTGAACATTTTTGCCTTCTGTTGCTGGTTGGTTTCCAGATAGAGAACGTGTCTGCCACTGAATATTCTAGCGCAATGTAATATTTTTCATGTACATAATCTGAATATTTTTGTCTTCTGTTGCTGGTTGGTTTCCGGATAACGTGTCTGCCACTGAATATTCCAGCCCAATTAAATATTTCTCATGTACATAATCTGAATATTTTTGTCTTCTGTTGCTGGTCGGCTTCCAGATAGAGAACGTATCTGCCACTGAATATTCTAGCGCAAAGAAATTTTTCACGTACCTCAGCATGAAGTTGTAGTTTGCTTCTTTATTTCAATATTAAGTTGCAGCTGTGTTGCAGCTAATCAATAATTTTCATATTCTAGCGCAAAGAAATTTTTCACGTACCTTAGCAAGAAGTTGTAGTTTGCTTCTTTATTCCAATATTCAGTTGAAGGTATGTTGCAATATATCAATAATTTCAGAGGTCAGGTTCTCCCTCTGAAGTCTCTGAACAACGTTGTGGACGTTGAGCTCATAGGCTCAGGCATGAAGTATAACTTGAATGTCGCCAAGACGGGACCAGCGCAGTTCTTCCTCACGCTCAACGGATCGCATAAGCTGGTGGATGTGCTGCGTATGACCGACGGAGGTCTCCTTATCTCCGTCGACGGCCATAGCCACACCACTTACTTGCAAAATGAAGTCGACAAGTAATTCATGCATGCTATCGCCATTGTTTTTTTAATTGCAAAATAGCCTTTTTAGCGCATTTTCTCATTTAAGGAAAAAATGCACTATTGTGCTCGCCATGTCCGTCTGTCTGTCCGTGACCTCAAGTTTTCATCGACGAGAAAATGCGCTCTCTGTCGCTCACTGCTCTGAGTACTGAGTTATATTTTTTTTGTATTTCTGATTGAATTTCGTGATAAGTACATTGACCGAAGTCGACAAGTAATTGCTCTCCGCTTTTGCCATAGATTTTTTAATTCTAAAAAATTAGTCTTTATTTTTTTCAGTTTGAATATTGTGCTATGCTTTGATCAAACACGAGAAGTGGTTTCTGGCTCCTCTTGCCACTTATTTTTAAATCTGAAATGGCCTATGATTGATCTTCTAGCTAAATTTTAGTGATTGATATACTGATCAAAGTCAACAAGTATATAATTGCTGTCTGCTTTTGCCATTTTTTTAATCTTTAAAGGCCTTGGAATTTTTTTAACCTGAATTTTGATATACGTATATGTGATTGATAATAACGAACTTATAATTTTATGATGTAACTAATAATTTATTTCATCATCGATGTAGAAAAGTTATTCATAAATGCATTAATCTGTCAATAACGTTCATAATTGTTTTTGTTGTTTTGTCACAGGGTGGTGTTTGTTGGCTTGGTTGATATGATCAATCTGTGTTCTTGATTTAATGTTCATTTCAAATCTGATTTAATGTTCATTTTCCATTGATCAACTCGTGTAAAATTTCAAAATTCCCGTAATAAGAAGTAACTTTTCAATGGAGCGAGAGTAAATAACGATGAAAAATTATAAAATAGGTATTTTCTTTCTCTAGGTACCGCCTTAATCAACTCGTGTAACATTACAAAATTCCCGTAATAAGAAGTAACTTTTCAATGATGCGAGACTAAATAACGATGAAAAATTATAAAATATTGTCTTTTTCTAGGTACCGCCTTAATCAACTCGTGTAACATTACAAAATTCCCGTAATAAGAAGTAACTTTTCAATGGAGCGAGACTAAAAAATGATGAAATATTGTCTTTTTCTAGATACCGCCTTAACATCGGGCATCAGACCTGCATTTTTGAGAAGGAGAGCGACCCAAGTCTGCTACGGTCAACAGCACCCGTCAAACTCCTGAACTTCCTGGAGGAAGACGGCGCTCACGTGACTGCCGGCAGCCCCTACGCCGAAATTGAGGCGAGTCTCATGAATTGAAAGAAAATCTATTTAATTAATTTTTCAATAGTATGGTAAAGTTCATTCTTCTTTATTATATCTCATTGAGTGAGAATGTTGACGTTTTATAATTTCGTGACGGAATTTGCTTCTAATTGAATACGCTTTACCATTTGAGCAGGTCCTTTCATAATTTATCGCAACTTCTCGCCTCAGTTTCAGAGCATGAAAATGGTGGTGATCTTGACATTGATGGGACGGGGCTATAATAATTAATCAACATTGTTAATGGCATTCCTGACCCTTCTTGCAGAGTGTGAAAATGGTGGTGAAGTTTACATCCAGTGACCAGCGCTCTAATAATTGATTAAAATTATTAGTGCAAACTTTCACCCTTTCTTCAGAGAATTCAAATGTTGACGATGCTACATAAAGTGAGCGAGGATCTAATAATTTATTAAAATTGTTAGTAAAATATCTCTCTTCTTTCAGAGCATGAAAATAGTGATGCTGCTACATAAAGTGAGCGAGGATCTAATAATTTATTAATATTGTTAGTCAAATATCTCTCTTCTTTCAGAGCATGAAAATAGTGATGATGCTACATAAAGTGAGCGAGGATCTAATAATTTATTAATAATAGAAACACTAATTTTAGCGGAAATCTGATGCACTAAACTGATAACTCACGTATCACTAAAAACTTTAAGAAATAAATAAGATATCGTCGGAATTTAACCAAAGTTTTTCAATTCAGTCTACGTTTACGAAAGAGAAACTTCATTTGGCTAAAATCTGATGCAACTAAAAACTTCAGGAATAGAATCTTTGAGTTCTAATAAAAGTTTTGTTCTAATATCTGTGTTATTCAGGAAGTGATATCGTCTGTGTCTGGCCGCATCCCTGCCTCTGTAGAACAACTCATCCAGAAGCACATGTCGCTCTACGCTCGCAACGTCACCTCCATTCTGGCTCAGTTCCCATCACAGGAGATTGCCCTCGTCATCGATAGGTTATTCTTATGGACTCGCGATGGCGTGATTATTATTAATGTATTAAACTAATATGTTGCTCTCGAAGTATTATTAACACGAGTCTCTTAACAGGAATGCTTCATTCAATGTTAACTGTCGATGAACATTCTGTCGAATTGATCCCCGTGGAAAGTAAACTTTGAACTGTTTGTATATCGCTTGATGTACACGAATTGTATATGTATATTTGTTTTGGCTTTGAGAAGTATATGAACTATATATATGTGTCTTTGTGTATTAGAATTGCATGTATACATATGTTTGCAGCCATGCTGCGACCCTCCAGAAGAAAGACCGCGACGTGTTCTTCATGACGACACAAGGCTTGGTGCAGCTCTGCCAGCGCTACAAGAAGGGGACGAGAGGACGCATGATGAGCGTCGTGCAGGACATCCTCAAGCAATACCTCAATGTCGAGTCGCTCTTCCAGCACGGTTAGTTCTTGAAACTTGAAACGTAGTTCTTAAAACGCTCCATACATGTGTTTCGAGTGTAGCAGTGCCAGGCCACGCTGGATTGCCGCCTCAGTCTTCCACTGCTTACAACCCTGACAAGCAAGTGACAGTAACAACTTTTTCATTCAAACTAACGACCGTTGTAGTTGTACAAACTAACGACTGAATGGTAATAAAAGTCATCATAAAATCATGATGCATAAATTACGTTTAATGTTGCCAAAGTTTCACTGTTGTTTTCCTAAACGATCGAAATAATTTTTAACGAGCTATACAAACCTGGAAAATATTTTGGATTTCATTGAAACAATTTGGATTTCATTGAAACAATTTTTTTGGTAAAATGGCACGTAAACATTTGGATCCCTTTCCGGGTTAAGGAAAATTAGTTTTGTCAACTCTCAAAGACAGTCTTTTTCAGAAATTTCTTATGTGTACCTATACCGACATTCCAGAAATGTCTAACATTTATAATAAGAATGGTTGTTATTTTCTTCGCTAGTAAAACCGAGCCACTATGTCCATTATTCTATGGGTGGATATTTCGAATCATGGGGGATTATTTCTGACATCTCTCTTCATTATTAGCAGATATCATCCTTGAATTGTCTGTGTTATTCAGGTTCCTACGACAAGTGTGTGCAGGCTGTGCGCGAGAAATACAAGGACGACATCAACACGATGTTGGAAATATTGATCTCTCACTCGCAGCTCAACAAGAAGAACCAGGTGACGGACGTTCATTAGACTGTGAGAATATCACCCAATGAGAAAAATCTTCTATAACTTACATTAAGAATGAACTACAAACTATCTTAACAGTCTAAATTATTGCTTACGTTGATAGCTTCTTTTGTGCCTTGACATGAATTGAAGTATAGAAGATGCTAGAATTTAACGCCTTGCCTGGTATTGTTACCCAGCTGCTTGTGCTGCTCATTGACCATTTGTGCGAACACGAGCCTGGCCTCACGGACGACCTCGCTCAAGACTTGGAGCATCTCACCAAACTGAACAGCATTGACCACTCTCGCGTCGCTCTTAGGGCGCGACAGGTAAGCTGTGGCTGAGAAAATTTCCTTGTGATTCATGTGTTGCGATGGTTTAAAACATTTAATGCCAGTGTTTCTTGTGCACAGATACAGATTTTGCACGTTAGTTGTGATCGTTGCACTGTTTCCTAGGTACGGTATATTCATTGTAAAACTTTTGCTAAACTACCCGTTTTGAAGCTTCGTGTTCCTTCCCGCATTTGTCTGGCTAATACGTTGTGCACAATTCCTCTACGTTCCTTGAATTCTAACACCTGGTTTGTCATTATCGAATGAACGAATTCTCTTTTAGGCATTCATATTTTCTAGTCTTTGATTGTATAGTTTTATCTTGAAATTTTATTGTTAATATTTTACTATTCAGTTATAAATTAAGCCACAGATTTCATATTTCTACTTTCTATGGTCAGGTTCTTATTGCTGCCAACCAACCAGCGTATGAACTTCGGTACAACCAAATGGAGAGCATCTTCTTACCTGCCGTGGACACATACGGCCATTCCTACCAGCCTGAAAACCTGAAAAAGCTTATCCTGTCTGAAACGTCCATCTATGATGTACTGCATGCTTTCTTCTATCACAGCAACATGCAAGTTCGCATTGCTGCCCTTGAGGTCAGATTGGGTTATGAGTAACTTTTTTATTTATGTGTATTGAGTACCGTATTGGGTTATGAGTATTGGGGTATTGACAATTCATAGGAATTGTTTGATGTTTAGTACTTCGCCTTGTCTCTTCTCGATCGTGATCATCTGACAAATTTTTATTTTATCAGCTAATTTATTTAATTCTGAAATTAATTACCTATTTAATTGCGTATTTTCGCAGGTGTACGTGCGCCGGGCGTACATCAGCTATGATCTCAACTCGGTGATCCACAAGACACTGAAGGGCAGCCGTGACTGCTTCGTATTCTTCCAGTTCTTGCTCCCCACTTCGCACCCTAACAGGTGATGACAGCTTGTTTATACTTCACAACTAATATTCATCGTGATCACTAATAGTTTACTGCTTGACTATGGTTTTCATCAGTCTTTCAAAATAATAAGCGCGTCATAATATCTCTTGCTGTTGTTTTTAATTTCTAAGAACAAACTTCTCAATAGACTTGAAACAACTCGTTTTCCATGAACCTGTAAAATATACACACGCGTAATCTCAGTAAGCTTGAAAACAGTCGTTTAAATTCAAATAATAATTCTAATAAATATCCAGGATTCCACACAACAAGATCTGGAGCTCAGTGGAATACCCCGACGGAGTACCAAACTCCTATGACTTGTCTCATGGGTTGGACAACTGCCAACGTATGGGCATCATGGGAGCCTTCGAGAGCTTTGAGCAGTTCGAGGTGAAGCTGCATTCCAACTAAAAATAACATGACCATGAATTAACATGATTTTTTTAGCAATACTTTTTTCGGCCTTCTATGAATATTTTCAATCGAATGGACGTTTATCTGCTGAAAAGTATTTTTTTATAAGTCATATCCTATATAATATTTGTCACATGTGTTATTAAAGTTGAAATTTTATCTCTCAATCGTTCTGTAATATTGCAAATATTGATTTATTTTAGTGGTAAATTTGACATGCACTTGGTAACTTGTCTCTACTTTCGTGGGCTAACAGTCGTACTTCCTGGAGCTGATCGGTTACTTCGCACCCTCTGAGAAATGCCCCCTCGACAACGACCAGTTTTCTTTCTCCATGGGATCAACCTTCTCAGACTTGTCTTACAGAGAAGTGAGACTGCAACTGTAATGTAGCAATTGCTATTTAGAAGTTACATTTTATGCTTTTAAATCAAAAATCTTTTCTGAAGTTCAAAACATTATTGAAAAGAACAGTCGCCTTCAAACTATTGGTTTGTTCATCAATTTGTGTGCTATGTTGATAATTTCGAAGTTTTAGTTTGCACTTCTTAAGTTTTAAATCTACTGTGCTGTTCAAAGCAAAAAAAAAAATAATAGTCGAAATGAATAGTCACGTTCTAACTACCGGTATGGGTTTTACTCAGTTGCTTATGTGTTTTGTTCCAGTCGTCGGAGAAGGAACCCATTCACATAATGAATATCGGCCTGCGCATGACTGCCGATCTCAATGACTACGAAGCGAGCGAGATGTTCGCTTCTTTCTGCCAGGCCCACAGAGAAGACTTCAAAAATACTGGAATCCGTCGTGTTACCTTCATCATCTTCTACAAGCGCCAGTTTCCCCGCTACTTTACCTACAGGTAACTTTTGTTTAAACTACGTAGCTGATATGTTTTTTTTTGTAGTGATACAATGATATTTTTTTGAGTAGTAATTACCATTGTTTATTTTTTTTGGTCATCCAAAGCGATAGAAATTTTGTGAATTTCTGTAACTTTGAGCCTCCAGTTTAGTGCTGGACTATTTTGTCCAGTGCGACACATTAAGTGCGACTGTCGTATCTAGGGCGTATTTCATACCTGTATTACGACCCACTGCTGCACTTAACGTGTTCAAATGTTTACTTGCGTGGAACTGTGCCCAGGGCCCGTGACGGTTTCTGCGAGGATCGTATCTATCGACATCTTGAACCCGCTCTCGCGTTCCAGCTCGAGATCAACAGACTGCGCAACTATGACCTCGAGGCGCTTCCCACCTCCAACCGCAAGATGCACCTCTACTTGGCCAAGGCAAAAGTGAGTGTGATTATCAATTGTGCCTCCATGACTTAATCAACTGTGTAGGACTTTCATAGGATGACTCAGGTATTTGTTTGCGACTTCGTGTTCACTTTTTATTTTATCTTCATTTCGAATCTGTGACTCAAACGTCAAGGTGTAACTTTAATCTTGAGGACTTCTCAGAGAGAGCTTGATTGTATCTGATAGATATCCCAATTGATTTTTGTCAACTTTTTTATATAGTTTGATTGCAAGGTATCTTGCCTGAAACAATTATTTTTTTTCATGGTGGAAATATTTTTTTTTGTAAATTTATTATAATGAAATTCCATGAAAACAGTTTGTCAAATTTCAGCATCATGAAATATTTTGTATTTCAGGTTGCACATGGCCAGGAGGTGACCGACTACCGCTTCTTCATTCGCTCAATCATCCGACACTCGGACCTCATCACCAGGGAGGCGTCCTTTGACTACCTGGAGAAGGAGGGTGAAAAGTTGCTACTTGAAGCCATGGACGAGCTTGAAGTTGCCTTCAGCCACCCTCTTGCCAAATGCACCGACTGCAATCACGTTTTCCTCAACTTCGTGCCAACGGTTATTATGAATCCTGCGAAGGTAAAAGTTCTAATTATTATTATCTCATTTCTTTGATCAATAACTAGCTTGGTGCTCATTTTCACATCTGTTCAAATGAGAAATAACTTGCAATTTTGTAAGCAGCATAGTATCGCGTTTTTTTATTCATGACAGTGTATTCTTAGTATGTGTTTTGAGCATTAGGACCGAAAATTGGCACTAGTTCATTGGTGAAAATAGTCATCCAGATTATATTATCCACATTCAAAAATTGAAAACTTGATGATATCATCCTGGGCAGATCCAAGACTCGATCAGGTCGATCGTGAACCGCTACGGGCGTCGTTTGTGGAGCTTGCGAGTGCTGCAGGCCGAAATTAAGATGCTCATCCGGCACAGCCCTCAGCATCACACTGTGCCCATACGCCTCACGCTCTCCAACGAGTCTGGATACTTCCTTGACATGAACCTTTATAAAGAAGTGACAGACAAACTCAATGGACAGGTAAGTCGTTAATTTCGTTCAATCCAACGAGTCTGGATACTTCCTTGACATAAACCTTTATGAAGAAGTGACAGACAAACTCAATGGACAGGTAAGTCATTAATTTCGTTCAATCCAACGAGTCTGGATACTTCCTTGACATGAACCTCTATTGAGAAGTGACAAACTTTATCGACAGCTAAAGATTTAGGTATGCGCTATTATTAAGGCGTTCGTTTTGTTCACTCTAACGGCTCTGGATACTTTGACTTGAACCTCTACAAAGTAGTGACCGACAAATTGAACGGACAGGTGAAACTTGAGGCTTGGTCTTTAAGTTGTTTGTTTTGTCCACTGCTTTATTCCTGACAATAAATTAGATAGTTTTTTAGTTTCTGAGGAGCTCACATATAGCAGCCATATTGTGGATAATTCGTGAAACCTCTGCGTATTAGAAGTTATTGATCGGTGTTAATTTAGGTAATTATTTCCTGAGGCTGGAACTGCTAAATAATTACTTCTTAAAACTTTTATTTTAAATATCACGTTCGAAGTACTGGGAAGTTCGTACTAGAGGTTATTGTCAGGTGTAATTCAGTAAATTGTTTTCAGCGGCCGAAACTGCTCTATAATCAATTAAAATTCTTATTTTCAAGATCAAGTTCGAAGGATTTGGAAGTCGACAAGGCCCTCTCCACGGGCTCTCAGTGTCCACGCCCTACATGACTAAGGACTACCTGCAGCTCAAGAGATTCCAAGCGCAGAGCAATGGCACCACTTACGTCTATGACTTCCCTGAGATGGTCAAGCAGGCGCTGGAGAAAATCTGGACTCAACACTTTAAGAAAAGAGGTGAGACTTCAACACATTAAGTGTCGCACGACCCACCGGTGGGTCGTCCACAGGTATGATATACGCTCTGAATACAACATAACCGCAATTAATGTGTTAATTTTAATGTGGAATAATATGCATGCTTTAATTTTACCTTATTTACTGCTTTATCTAACAAAGACCTTTTTTAATTCTCTCTGTTTCCGTGTCGTCAGTGCACGCATTGAATTATGGTTCAGGCAAGGTGAACTGTGCTCTCTGTGTAAATATTGAATAGTTGATTGAAACGTCATAATTGGTCCATTGAGAATCTTTATTGGTTCATTGAAACGTTTTAATTGTGCAGGTGTTAAAGACGCGCCTGTTCCGAGTCACCTGCTGAGCGTGGTTGAGCTGGTGCCAGATTCTTCTGGAGAAAATCTCTTGGAAGAGAAACGACTTCCCGGGGAAAATGATGTGAGAAAATCGAGGCTCTATTATAAAGTACAAACAATTGAACCTAGTTGATTTATGTAAGATTCAGTAATGTTTGTCACGTCGTCTAAGGTGATTTGTGACTCTACTTTAAGGCTGATTACAGGAACTCTTTATTAGCAAGAATCGTAGTATCAAAATAGTTTAAGAGTTCGTAAGTCCGTCAGACAATCACTGACGGCTTTCTAAGCTAAACTCGCCAATCACAGATGTTAAATCGGCCGCTACGTGTACTTAAGTTTTGATGGTGCAAGCCATGGCCTCTAAATCTAAACTGTATTAACGTCCGCTACGTGTACTTAAGTTTTGATGGTGCAACCCATGGCCTCTAAATCTAAACTGTATTAACGACGGTTAAAGTATCTCTTGATAAAGAATTAATAACGATTTTAAACCTCAGGTTGGCATGGTTGCCTGGCGCATGACCCTGCACACGCCCGAGTATCCTGATGGTCGGGACATCATCGTCATCTGTAACGACATAACGTTCCAGATCGGCTCCTTTGGCCCTAAGGAAGACATGCTGTTCTTGAAGGCCTCGCAGAGAGCTCGTCAACTTAAGGTTCCCTATTTCATTCCGCATTTATAATCGCTAGGTGTACGTAGGATGGATATTTTATCTATTATTGCTTGATGTATAATTCTCACCAAAGATTTTAAAAATCTAGTCAATAATCCGCTACCCTAATACTTCTATCAAATTAATATGTATTCTTGCATTATAAGTTACTGCCAAAATTCTAAGAAATTTTGTTTCGTTTTCAGATTCCTCGCCTCTACATTGCTGCCAATTCAGGCGCTCGTATTGGCCTTGCTAACGAAGTCAAGAATCTTTTCAAAGTTGCTTGGGAAGACCCACAACAGCCTGACAAGGTGAGACCTGTGTTCTATATTATCTCTGCAGTCTACGACAACTCCCTTTAAAAGTCTGTATATTAAGCTCACAATTTTCAGGTTTTGATGACTTTTTTCTCACTTTTTGAACATGTAATAACTCTAGTTTTGTTTATTCTACGTACTGACGTGAAAGTTACAAACTACCAATGAATAATGTTGTGGCAGGGGTTCAAGTACCTCTACATCACCCCTGATGACTTCAAGAATGTGGCGTCCACACGAAGTGTTCTGCACACGGAGCTTATCGACGACGAAGGCGAGGCTCGCTACAAAATCATCGCCATCATTGGTGAGCTTAGTTCGTTATACTGGAAAACATATCGAAATTTGTTTCGTTACTTTGGAAAAGTTTTGAACTACTTGCAGTCATTATTATGTAGCTTTTCTTATAACTACCCAGTACCCACGAAGAAAATTTGGTTTATTAGAATACCAATAACTTTTGTCTCTATTAAAGTACGATTTGACTGTATTATTCAGTTTGTTTCATCACGTGAAACCAACTCTTGAAAAAAAGGTGTTGTGTTCGGCAGTACGTATGTTTTTGCGATATCAATTAAAAATTCATGTCAACAGGAACAAATTTCTGTTGATGTTTAAACTCGTTTATTAATCCCATTTCAGGTTGAGAGTTTGGCTTAAAACTCATTCATTCCATTGAAGGTCAGGAGAACGGCTTTGAACTCATTTATTATTCCATTGCAGGTCGAGAGGACGGCTTGGGTGTAGAGAACCTGAAACACTCTGGCATGATCGCTGGCGAGACGTCACAAGCGTACCGCGAGGTGGTCACCTACTCGATGGTGACGTGTCGCGCTATCGGCATCGGCGCGTATCTCGTGCGTCTGGGACAGCGCGTCGTGCAGGTCGAGAGCTCACACATCATCCTCACCGGCTACAGCGCTCTAAATAAGGTAAAAAAATCTCCAAATAAGATGAGATTTCTGAACACATGTAGTACGGAAGCGGGGAATTTAGTCTCTCGAGTCATTTTTGATTAGGAACTGATAAATGTCGATCAATAAATGCATCACTAATGACCTGGCTTCATGATACTACTATCTTAGAGTCCCTGGAACCGAGCTACATGCCGGCTCCAAAAGTAATTAATTCAGCCTATGCTCTTGCTTTATTTTACGTATTCACTTATCCCTCAGCTGCTGGGTCGTGAAGTGTACACCAGCAACTCACAACTTGGCGGCGTGGAGATCATGCACCAGAACGGCGTGAGTCACCAGGTTGCTTCTAACGACCTCGACGCTGTCTTCACTGTGCTGCAGTGGCTGTCATATGTGCCAAGGGTGCGTAGCTCTACTCTAATTTTTTTCAACCTCCTTTTACGTTCTTTGGGACATAGCATTATTGGATTTTAGAACATGGTTTTCTTGCAACAGTTTTTTTTGGATGGCATATACTTATGGTCGAATGAAATTGTTCTCGGTCGTAATTCTGATTGCGAATCGAATTGTTATCTCAGCAATTTTACACCAAGGTGCAATTTTCTGGCCAATAATTTTGTTTTGATGGCGTTCAGTTATCATGCAATGAAATTATTCTCGCTCAGCACCGAGGAGCACCACCACCATACCTCACTCCGACTGACCCTGTGGATCGCAAGATTGCGTTCTCTCCCGAACGCGCGCCGTACGATCCTCGCCATTTGGCGGCTGGTAGATACAACCCCAGCACCAACGAATGGGAGAGCGGCTTTTTCGACGAAGGTTCCTTCCAGGTCAGGCCTTTAAACCTTTATCTATTAACTCCGTTAGACAGAGTGTAACACCAAGCACTGAGATATGAATAACATTGGCGACGGTGATGTTAATGTATACGAAATGTTCGAGTTTCCTTCTTTCTGATGGAAGCCTTTCAGTGGATAGGCTCATGTTGTAAACAGCTTTATCATTTTAGTATGTGATAGTATTACGCCATTCAATAATTTTAAATTTTGTATGAAACTATTCTTTCTATAATGTATGTTGCAGCCGTATTCAAATGTCCGACTCAATCTTTCACTACCTTGTTTTAATATTGATTATTGTTGTGAACTTTGCTAATGCGGTTTAGGTCGCGAAGTCAATGCTCCGACCTCAAATATATAGGATGATCTGAAGAGACAACGTGGTTCTTCATGAGTTGTAATTTAAGTTTCAATGTTATGTACAAAGCTGCCTGTGAATTAACGTTTAGTTTCCAAACGTAACTTTAATTTCAAAAAGATATAATGTATAACCACATTGAACAAGAATGTCTTTGCACTCACAGGAGATCCTCGCTCCATGGGCGCAATCGGTGGTTGTGGGTCGTGCCCGACTTGGGGGCATCCCTGTGGGGACAATCATCGTGGAGACTCGTACTGTGGAGCTCAGCATGCCTGCAGACCCAGCCAACCCTGACTCTGAAGCTAAGGTGGATTTCATGTTATAATTGTGTCACTTAAAGCTCATGGTTAGATAATGCATAGTGAGTGTGTTATTCATAGCTCATGATTAGATATAGCTTCTCTTTGTTTTAAATTCCATTACAGTTGTTTTTGTTGGAAGTTTAGGGAAATTTTTGCCATCCTGAAATACATCATTTTAATGAATTTTTTCATTGTGGATCGTCAATAACAGTGGACCAATCTATATGTATTATTTTTAAATCCTTAATACATCTCTGTTTGACATTAACAAAAACGAACTGTTACAAGAACTGTTGTTGAAAAGCCGTTAGTTTTTCTTCTTAACACTCCTCTATTTTTACAACACTTCTCTTTAACTTCACTTCTTGTTTGTCTGTCTGTCTGTCTGCTACAAATCTTGTAATCGAAATTTAATACACTTCTACTTATACAATCATCGTCGAGACTCGTACTGTGGAGCTCAGCATGCCTGCTGACCCAGCCAACCCTGACTCCGAAGCTAAGGTGGATTTCATGTTATAATTTAGTGTGTCATTTATAGCTCATGGTTAGATGCTGCATAGTGAGTGTGTTGTTCATAGATCATGGTTAGATAAAGCTTTTGTTTGTTTTAATTTGATTTCATACTATAATTTAGTCAATTATAGCTTATGGTTAGATACTGCATAGCTCCTATTTGTTTTAATTTCCATTACAGTTGTTTTTATTGGCAGCTAAGGAAATTTTTGCCATCCTCAAATACATCATTTTAATTAATTTTTTCGTTGTGGATCATCAATAACAGTGCATCAATCTATTTGTAATATTTTTAAATCCTAAATATTTCTCTGTTTGGCATTAGCAAATATGAACTGTTTCGAGAACTGTTGTTGAAAAACTGTTCATTTTTCGTTTTAACACTCCTATATTCTTCATTTATATCTTCATCATGAAGAATTTCCGCTCTGTAGATGTACGTAATACTGTTATCATTCTCTCAACACAGACTGTGTCTCAAGCCGGCCAAGTATGGTTCCCCGACTCTGCGTACAAAACTTCTCAGGCCATCAACGATTTCAATGTAGAAGGACTGCCGTTAGTCATCTTTGCCAACTGGCGTGGCTTCTCTGGTGGCATGAAAGGTTGGATATCTATTACCTTGGCTCGCTCGATTGCATCTCATGGGCTGAGTTGTGATTATAATTTTTTAGAGTTGTATATGTGAGTTGTTTTTCATGTGAATCCAATTGCAAACAATCAAGCATTGGAATTCTGTTCTATATACTTGTCGCATACAAGCATTGTTTGACGTTTGCTTCTGGACGATATTATTCATGAATTTTGTACCAAAAGTAACCAATCGTTCATTTTGTGTGGGGTTGCTACATCAGACATGTATGAACAAGTGGTAAAGTTCGGTGCATACATCGTGGATGCTTTACGCTCGTACACTCAACCCATCCTGGTGTACGTTCCCCCGTACGCTGAATTGCGTGGAGGCGCCTGGGTGGTCATCGATTCCACCATCAATGAGCGATATATGGAGATGTACGCCGACCCGCTCTCACGGTTAGTTAAGCTTTCAAAACTGAATACAACTGTTCATAGCACACAAAGTAATTTATTTATCATTTTTGTAAAAATGCATACCTGTCATATGGCCTAACATCATTTTTTACTCCTTGAGATATCTGATATCACATGAAAAATGTTCATTCTTTCATATTCAAATGCGCGGTTTTCTCGTCCTACAATAAAATTTCCGTTAAACCTTTTTTTCTGCTAATTTCTTTTGTATTTATAAACATTTATTACTTGAACTAAGTAGTTTAATTCTGAATTCAGTGGTGGAGTTCTGGAGCCTGAAGGCACCGTTGAGATCAAGTTCAAGCTGAAAGATCAGTTACGCACCATGGAGCGTCTTGATCCCGTAGTACGGGACCTCAAATCTCAGCTCGCTACGGCGGCTGCAGGCTCCGCTGAGCAAAGCGCCCTCAAGAAGAAACTTGCGCTCAGAGAAGAGTCGTTGAAGCTCATCTACTATCAGGTGAAGATTCTCGTTATTTTATATTTAGTTTCATCTGCGTGATGTTATATATTACATCGGCGGATTACTTATTAAGCGATGTAGATTATTTTAGTGTTGGATAAATTTCATGATCAGCCTAATCACACTGGCATTTTATCGGTCTTCTTTAGTGTTCAGAACTACCTATCAATTTTCAGATGTACTTTGAATTTCTATTTTAGATTTCTATTTCAAATTAGTATTTCAGTCGTTCATCTCTACATTAGTGATATGTGGACTTGTATATTCTATACCTTTAGTGGCCTTACAAAAATGTTACAATTTATTTCAGATTGGCCTGACGTTTGCCGACCTGCATGACACTCCGATTCGCATGCTTGAGAAGAACGTCATCCAGGCCATCGTACCCTGGGCAGAAAGTCGCACGCGTCTCTACTGGAGACTGCGAAGACTTCTGGCTGAAGATCGTGTTAAGAAAGAGATAGAAAGAGCGCAACCTGAACTTGGACACGCGCAAGAAGATGCCATGCTGCGTCGTTGGTTCCTCGAAGAGAGGGGAACTCTCGAGGTTTGTGCTACAAATGATTTAGATTTTTATTTCTTGAACTTTAGTTTTGCAGTAATATGAGTTTTATGGCATACGTCGTTTTAATGCTAGTATGCAGTTAAGTCATGCTGGCTTTGAGACCATTATTTATGCGGGCATTGAGACCATTATTTTTCTGCAGAGCTACGTCTGGGACCAGGACAACGAAGTGGCCGAGTGGCTGGAACAGCAGTTGGAGGGCGGAGGATGCAGAAGCGGTGGACCCACGCCTGGCTCAAGAGAAGGAATCACTTCCCACCTTCTTGAGAGTCTGCAAATGTTCAAGCGCGATGCTGCCCTAAACTCTATCAAGGCTTCGTTACTGGTATGCAAATTTGTGCCGCTCTTGTAGAACATTACGATTATTCAAATGCAATGCCACCTTAACCGTTTCGAAGGCTTCGTTACTAGAATGCGATTTATGCCGCTCTTGAAGAACTTTATGATTGCAATTCATGCTCATACGTCGATGACAACTGATACCGGTATTGTTCTGTTAGGAGAAGATTGCACTATTTATTGCATTGCAATTTTTTTTTGGTCGGCCAATTGTCCATAATTTAATTTATCTCTTGATAAATTTGTGAATGTATATTTATAAACAGTTATGAAAGCTTTAACTGAGACGCTTCATTTTTTGTTTGAATGCAGATTTAATGCTCTTTTTGAGATGTTTTATCTTACAATTTTACTTGTGAAATATGCTTTGGTTTTAAGCTGGAATTGTACTTGAATGTAGCAAGTGATCCCTTTGTTTATTTCTTCCTTACTCTTAATTTCACTACTTATAGAAGATTTTCTATTTCCGAGTTATAAAAACTACATGCAAATCTATTCAAGTTAATAGTTGATACAACTTGAAATTTTGATCCTGAACTGTAAAAAAAAAAAATACCCGAGTAATTAACGAACTAGGCATATTCTCATTGATATTGAAGAATCCCTCAAAAATTTCTAAGAATGGGCAATTTCATTCGTGCACAATGTGACCGAACCAATGTTTTATGAAAGAGAAAATCGATTAAATGTCCACTGACAACTTTGGTACATGGACACCTGTTGTCTGACCTTGGTTTTGTTTTATAAATTATACTACCGACAATTCATTTACCTCATGGCTCGTAGGGTACTTGTTAGTTTCAATTTATATCATAATTTCATAGCAGTTCAAATTATAGTTAGATTATCACTGAACTTTGTGTGCAGGAGTACCCTGAGATAGGCCAGGAGGCTCTCTACCATATCTTCAAGCGCCTCAGCAACGCCCAGCAGGCTGAAGTGCTGCGGACGCTATCAACGCCTGGTCAGTTCGCTGCATCCCAAGCCAATGCTTCCAGTCGAACTCTACTGGAACTCATAAATAACGTTTTGTTGTTTAAAAGCCCGTCCATACCTCATTAACATGTATCTTTACGAGTCGGACACAAATATATTTGAAGCCATTGGGCACCAGATATCTATGTCACGAACAATTATGATTAAACGATTAAATTAAATTAAAAAGGTTTGCGATCGGATGTGGACGTGGCCTTAGCCTGATTTTGTGCTATCATCTTTCGACTTTTCATGGTCTTCAAGTTTTATGGTTATGGCATTCCGGTATATTAATCTTATTAGGTAGGTATATCCTATCTTAAATGAATTAATATTTATGATAATTTATCTCAATTCCAAGTTCAAAGAATTAAATTTTTTACCAATTTCATGTTTGACCATTGCATTTTTCTGGTTTGAATCTACCTGATTGATAGTGATATTAGTTTAATTTTGGAAAATTTTACGAGATTTCTTTAGTAATTCGTGGATGTGTTTGTTTCAGATTATGAGCCGCCTGCCTATGCAGGTGCTGTCGCTGCCCAAGAATCATTGTCTGCGGGAACTTCTTTCCTGTCCCCCGACGAAGAAAATTCAGCTGGCTGAAGTTAGGTTTCACTCGCCCAACGCTGTCCAGTTTCTCGACCTGGATCCTGAAGAACTGTTTACAAATAATGCTCAAACTTGTTTTATCAACTAATGATACACACAATAGCTTTAAAATGGAGGTTTCGATGAAAGACACTTGAATATTATGTATAGAACATTGTTCTTTTGCATGGGAATGATATGCTTGTTAATATTATTGTTTGTAAACTATATACATTTTATTAGGCAGTATTGACTACAGAGTATGTTGGGTTCTTGGTACAATAGATATAATGCGTTTATTACTGTTAATTGTTGATCGTTTTCTTGTTTTTGTAGTTCAGGTTTTCCGGTTTTTGTTTGCAATTATTCTTAATATTCCTAATTCTAGTTCTAACTGTGCCATCTTGAAATTTACTGCCACAACTGATTCACGACATGCCATCTCCATAGTATCTATTATTTTTTTCTTAATATGATAATGACTTCGGTTGCCTGAGTTTTAAAATGATTTCACTGAGTTTATTCTCACTTGAAGTTGATATGCGTTTCATTTTAAATTTTTTTGATGGCATCATATGTAGTTTGGCAACTAAACACATTTAGAAATCTTAAACTGAAGCTGAAGGTCGTTATTCTCCGTACATTGTGTAGTTGCAAGCTGTTATAGAGACAACGTCACAAATGTATAACAGTACTTTTGTTTCTGAGGTGCACTTTAGAACAGATTTTTCAATTCATCAAGATTATGATTGAGTCTCAGTTTGTATTTTGTTTGGGATTTTGGTAGTATAATATTAACACAATTCGTCGATGCCCTCTTAGTGAGGTTGCATCGCATGGATAGAAATTCTAATTTCTTCTCGCATTCAAATCTACAAATGTAAGTACTTACACTGAAGATTTTAATGCATGTTGTTCTCTAATAAATTTATTTCATCTTAATTAGTCAGTATTCTTTGCGAAAATTGCTTGTTGTAACTATTTGCCTGCCGGGATTGGGAAATGAATATCGGCAGTGCTCGTTTTTCAATTGGGTATTCACAGGTCGAAATTAAACTTACTAATTTGGTGGGATCATGTGCGCCCTGGCTCACGATAAGTTACAATGAGTGCTTCCTTTTCGTGTGTTGAAATATCTGTGGGAAATATACCATTTCTTGCATTGCATGCTTTTTCGTAGCTTTAAGGAACTAAAGTGCCTTTTTATTCATATTTATTCAGTTTCAGAGTTTTCATTTGTTTACAAGACTATTCAATACTATAAGATGGTGTTCGGGAAAGACGATATTCTGATTTAGTTCTTACATTTAATTTTACGTGGTTGATAATTATATATGGCCTATTGTCTCGTTTGAAGGTAATGAAACATTCCTATCATAGACACAATATTTCGTGGCGGTTTTGGTTATTATTAATATCAATGCCGCTCACTTGACACAATTTTGCAAGTGGGCGGCCGTTTTCTTTAGGGTGGAGGGTAACTATTACTGATTAACTAGCATTTGTTATTGTAGGTTTAACAGATACGTGGCTGCCTACAGAAGATATTTATGCGATATGTAATTTTAATTGATAACGAAAAACAATTCGTGAACAAAATATATATATATAATTATAAATTTACGTATTTCAAAAAGCATTTTAGTGCACGAATTGGACCCTCAATGTTAAAACTCTAATTTGAAATCTAATTGAAGAGGACGTAGAATAAAATTATCTTCCAAGAGGCATCACAAATTGGGTCCAGGTCATTACTTCTCTCAATGATACGACTCTTTCTCTAACTCTTGGGAGTTTCATTGTATTCATTTGTAATTTAGAGCAGGATATATATATATTTATAATGTTCACGGTCTATCGATAATCATTTCCCTTCAATCATGTCCTTACCACCCGTTATATTTGCCTGCAAGTCTCCGGAACATATCTGGAATTGATTACTCACCAACTATGCAATATTATTAAGAGAATGTTACCAAGATAACAGGAAGTTAAAAAATGTGCATTGTACGAGCGTGATAAGGAAATGACCGCTCTAGGGCACATTGGTTGTATACACAAAATAAATTATGTAAATAAGTTCATTACATTACAGGCCTTGTTCTCGCGCATGCAACACACATTTGAAACGATCTTAGCTACTTGGCAACATTCATTGACTTGTTACACGGTTCACCAAACAGAAGTATCAGGGTTTAGTGTCATAATTAATCAGCAATATCTTCTATACAAGATAAGAAATATTTATTAATAGTTGCTAACAAAATATATATGAAATACATGCCTCTAAATAAAATGTCGAGTAGATACTATGGTGCAATGGTCTATAGACTCGGTTCATATTTTGCCAAACTACTTTATAGATGAATAATATTAGTTAATTCAAGTGGACTGCCCCAATAACCCAGGTTAACTTTCGAAAAACTGAACATTAAACTCGAAAGTACAATGGAAATCCCATTCTTTGTTATTGATGTCCTTACGGCAACTAAGTATTTAGTTTAATTGGAAAATACCTTGAAAGGGAACATTTGACAGATATCCATTTATATGAAAATGTAGTCAGAGACTCAGAGGGCGACTTTTTAGAAAAGTTGCTTCACCAGTTCACCTTATAGTACATACCTTCTATCTCGTGCGCACGCTCGGCGTCTCTAGTAAAGGACTCTACGAGTGTCTTCGTTTCTTGTGTACTTCCAACCTCTTCATCTCTTCGCAGTGCTGAAAATGCTCATTTCTCAGTAGCTTCAGCGGAACTTCTTATATAAATTTTCTCCTTCGGTCGAGGAATCAATCATTCTACAGCGATACTTCAGACAGCACCGTTTTTTCTTCTGTCGGACAGGCTACAGAAGAATCTTTTCTTCAAGAAAAGATGCAATGAATACAATAACCCTGAGCATTGTTACCAATGAGTGCTGCTTCAGGGGATCAAATCATAAATCCATTCTCGCATTCTCAACGGGTGGCATACGAGACAAAATTATTAATGTAATGATTACACAGAAATGACCAATGTATGTTTCAATTGTACTCCTTGATCTATGTAAATTTCCATTGCACACATTATTTGGCCATTTAAAATGATCATTTACTAACTTGAATCACTAGATTTATATTGAATATCCAGGGATACCAGTGCGTTGCTGAATTCTGGAATTTCATCAAGGTCTTAAAATTATATATAGCGGAGTGCAAAGGATGAAAAGGCTGGGAAATCAAGTGCCCAGATTAATTGTAATTACTATACTTCTAGTTATATATACACCGGCCAGGCTAAGGTAAAATACACATACCATTATCCAACTGACAGGTCGATATCGCAACTATTTAAGAAACCTCAAATGATAAGTACTCGTCGGGAAAGGAAGCGTCGGAGGCTGAAAAGGCATTGGAGGTGAACAGATACATAAATAATATCCATTAGTTTAAAACAAGTTTTTGCACATAGCATCAGCGGTGCACAAGAGAGTCCAGAGTTGAGTACATACATACCAACAGAACCTGCAGTCTTCATCGATGGTTCTGTGGCTCAGGAATGCTGGGTCGCCGAATCTAACATCGTTATTGATAAACGATGACACGGTGTTGAAATGAATAAGGACAAGGATTTAGGCGATAAAAAGAAAATTCATTTTGATGCAAAGGGCGCAGCGAAGTTAGAGAATCTGCATGATTAAGCCAAATCAAAAATTAAAACAACTGCAAACCGGTTCAATGCAACTTAAATAAATAATTTCCGTGCTAAACTAATCATAGGCTCCACTTAAGAGACAGAACAGTGAAATAAATTAATATGAACCAAACTATTGGTTAACTACGCAAGATGTTAGAATCTGAGATTTCAAGTCCTACAAAGTTAGTTAACCGTTAACCTCTGCTAAAAAATTATATAATACTATTTGTTAACACAGCATATGCCCAACGTAAGACAGAAGCAAAGTCCACAGTCGACATTACTAATCAAAATTCAACAAGAATAAATCTATTGAAATTTACTAAGAAAGTGAGACGCATTCAGATACTGTTTAAACACAAGCAACTCAATAAAACACATTCTGATGGAATAGAGGAAGGATCAATACATCGCTTCAGAGAGCTAATATGACGGTGCCCCATGGGTTTTGGTTTTAAAAGCCCGAAAACCCCTTCCTCAATGGTTTCAAAACCATGGGTTTTGGTTTTAAAAGCCCGAAAACCCCCTTGCTCAATGGTTTCAAAACCATGGGTTTTGGTTTTAAAAGCCCGAAAACCCCTTGTTCCATGGTTTTATACAGCAAATACGGCGGTCCTTCGACTAGGGGCTCAACGTATAAACTTAAAAGCAAGAAAAATAGAAAGACCTTGTATTCTTTAATGCCTTTTCAATGAGATAAAACTGAGTACTAATATGTGACAGCGAGTTTTGTGTAATTTTTTTTTAATCCTTACAATTAAATTTTGAATGGAAATTCCGTCCTGGAAAAATCGATGAATTGCACAATGCAAAACGCTTATGCTCGAAATGAACCGAGTTTCATTGGAAAACATGAACTCCATTTTAAAAAGGATATACTCTCTGATACTTAGCAATAGGAAAACAATATTATTATAATTGAAAATACGGTGCAACTGCTGCGTGCTCAAATCAACAACTCATAAAACGTGCTTAGGAGAAGCATCAAATGCTGGATTGGAATGTTGAACTTTTAGATGAATATATTACGTACAGAGATTGCATTGCAATCACTATTTTAATTTACTTATAGACCAGAAAGAATTTATATTGAGAACTTCCTACGATCGTGTTTGGCAGCCAAATCAATTCCGGATGTTCGAATGAAGATGGAAGACAATAAAAATTACACAATGACCGTAGAAATACAAGTACAGTACTGTTAACTTTGCTTTCCAATTTGGAATTTATGGAAGATTTCCGACGCAGTGAATATGCAGGAGTCGATTATCCCTGCGACGGTGAAAGTTCCTCCTACAATCGCGCAGACCTGCACAACAAAACAGCGTCGATATCAAGGAGAAATGGTTTAAATGAGTCCAGTTTATATCAAATGCAAGAAGAAATCATGATGAAAGTGACTAAATAATCGAACTGCACAACAAAACAGCGTCGATATCAAGGAGAAATGGTTTAAATGAGTCCAGTTTATATCAAATGAAAGAAGAAATCATGATGAAAGTGACTAAATAATCGAACTGTACAACAACACAGCGTTGATACCAGGGAGAAATGGTTTAAATGAGTCCAGTTTATATCAAATGCAAGAAGAAGTCATGATGAAAGAGACTGATTAATCAATATTTTTGTTTGAGGGTCTAAATGAAGAGAAAAAAAAATCAAAACAGACCTAGTAATTTTGTTTGAGTTTATATTCAAATTTAACTACTAGACACCTTAAGTATCGGGCTCTAACGCTCTTTTTAATGTTTGAAGGAGATGCGTCAAGGAAATGAAATAGCATATCTTAGAAAAACTAAAACTCAGTACTCACTGCAGTGACAGTGAGCGCATTTTCTCGTCGACAAAAACGTGAAGTCACGTACGGACGGACGGACACGGCGAGCACAATAGCGCCTTTTTTCCATCAATGAGAAAATGCGCTAAGAATATCCACAACCAAGCAAGTTATTCAGCAAATCGGCTGTCCACAATATCCTTAGCACTCAAGCAGGTATGATAACAGATATTCATTATACGTACTAATGATGGAAAATCGTGATAATTACCGTGGTTATGAGGTGATAATAATGACGGAAAATTGAGATAATTACCGTGGTTATGAGGTGATAATAATGACGGAAAATCGTGATAATTACCGTGGTTATGAAGGTGTAGAACGGAGGTCTTCTAACGTAGTATTTAACGGTGAGAGGAGCCAAGTCATATCGGAACCACAGTGCAGGTACAACGCGGCCGCCGTGGCCAAATGAAACGTATTTCTGAGGAAAAAATATTTACGATAAACCTTAGTGCATTTGCAAAAAATTTTACGATCAAATTATTTACGATCTTAGTGCATTGGCAAATAAATACATTTTTAATACAAGCGTCTATCGTGCGGAAATATAACAAAGAACTGCAGAACCCAGACTTTTCGTCATGAAATATTTCTCATCTTAATTAAGACAGAAAAGTTTGAGCCATTTAGTCTTAGGTTTCGGACCAGAATTTAGGAAGATTTAAAAAACAACTTTCACAGAAAAAAATAAGCTGAATGCCTTAAACAATGCCCACAAGTATCAACATATAATATGAATTCCTTACATGGGAGAACAAAGATTGATATATTGTTTGACGTTTATCCTAAAAATTCAAACTTTCCGATCGTTTAAACCATTACGATATGGATATGTTATCCGTCCGTTTTTTAATATGGATACAACCAACAATAATTGGAAATTCTGGCCGAAGTGTATTTGGTTGTAATTGAACAATACATAGAGCGTAAATAATACTGCAATATTCGTAATACATAATTCGTAATACACAACGACAAACAAAAAAAAACATTTGAATTTGGAGTGAGCAAAACGTCGGTACACACTGATATATAAATAGATCGAGTGTCTGAATTTTCGATTCCAAAAACGCACAAACTTTTTTCACCTAAATCCTCGCTCGTGAATTCGTACATGGATGTTTTCTAATAAAGTCTAAACTAAACTCACCCTGAAGGCATAAGTATACTGGTAGGCCGTAACATTCGTCCCTGAAGCGTCTTCATAGATGCTCGGGACGATCTTCATAACGTAGTCGTACGACTCCAATGCTGAGCAGCACAAACATTGTCAGTTGAGTCTATTCTGTTCTAACATGTTACAACACTTATTTAAATGAGTTTGGATATATTCCTGAAATTTATTAGGTGATTTATACATAATGGTATCAGGTAGTGCGCTATATCATTACATTGATATTGATTATATTGATATATGTTATAATGATTGATAGTGATTAGTATACCATACATTACCAGGAATCACTTGAATGAGATGACAATATTGAGTTATAAGAAATGGTTTGACTAGCTAGTACTAGTTGACTTACTACTAAGTAGTTCGACTGCTTAGTATCATTTTAATTTCACTTACAGTTTCCATCAAGTTTCTTTCTGTCATACAAGGGGTTGAAGGTACCAGGCACGTTGGGGTTGTTTATTTTTGCCCCAAACCTCAGCTCATGGATGATGTGGGCAAAATCGATGGTTTCAGGTTGAGATTCTGCAGAGTGAGTTGACACATGGAAGTTTCCTGCAAAAAAATGATTGAGCATAATTAAAACAGGCTACAATAATTTGGGAAATGAAACTTTAAGCAAAACCAATTCATTTTTACCAGATATTGTCAATAGTTTTCTTCTTCATTGTACTAAATTATGGAGCGCAATGGATTGATATATTACCTGGGACTTTGTTGATGAGGAAGTTGGCTTCAAAAAGGCAGCCTTCAGCTCCTACAGGAACCTTATTGGTGTTTTCAACAAACCCCACCTCATGACGCCCCATGTCGTCTTGGATATCCAAGCCAATTGCTGTAAAGAAAAACTTATTTGGCAAAAAGAAATAATTTGTTGAATAAATATATTTAATGTGCAAAATCATGTACAAAAATGTCACATAGAGGCAACACTTTTACCAGAAAATTGTTAGGACAAATTTTATAAGCTCAGGGTGAACTTATATAGTTTGATGGGCAAATTTATAATAAATTACTCTTACTTACAGTCACATTTTAGACGTGGAAGAGTAAGCTTGAGATAAACTGGAATTCTATCCACCTGGTCTCCTGGATCATCCACAAACAGCTCTGAAACTCTGATGAACAGAAAGTAAAACATTAGGATTAGACAATATAAAATTAAAATTACAAATAAATAAAAAATTTGAGAATGAATTTCAAGATATTATTGACACAGACAATGATATAGACATGCTTCAATATAAGTCAGGGTTGGCAATGATTAAATCATGCGATTAAATCACTAGATTTGTAAATCACACTATTTTTCATTTTTTACAACACTTCTCTTTAACTTCACTTCTTGTTTGTCTGTCTGTCTGTCTGTCTGTCTGTCTGCTACAAATCTTATAATCGATATTTAACACACTTCTACTATCCTATCGATCTGAAATTTTGCACACATGCGTAAAGTTGGAGACAATGCATGAATCAAATGACAAAATAAATTTTAAAAATAATTTTTTTTCTCAATATAAAAAAAAATTAAAAAATAATTTTGTCAGCTACAAATCCTATAACTGATATTTGACACACTTTTACCTGTCCAATTGACCTGAAATTTTGCACACTTGTGTGAAATCAGAGGCAATGCATGAATCAATTAACAGAATAAATAATTTTGAAAAAATTTATGTATTAAAAAAAATATATAGATTAAATAAATTCAAAAGTAAATTTTTTTAATTTGCGAAAATTAGATGAGAAATTCATTGTACATCTGTAAGATTGGAGATACTGGATTCTTTGGAAGTGTTGTCTTTAAAAAGTAATTTTTAAACGTATATTATTTTTACTTTTTTTATACCTATGTATAAATATATTGGGTGGCAGTCTTTAATTTATTTTGAGGTAGGTATAGCTATACACGGTTTAGTATAAATGTACTATGACAAATTAGAATATAAACCTGTTGCTTTTAGTGTGCATTACATTCCAATGAACTGTATGTTTTTGGTACAGAGGCATCAAGTGTTGCAATACATTGTACATATAACATAGCTAGCAGCTTAGCTAATTCTTATAAGGTTATAAGTAGCCTTTATTTAACTATTTCACAATTTGTTATATATTTATCACATTATAGAATTTACATGTGTTAGCAAGCTTATATAAGAAGGGTTGGTTGAGATTCTATTGACCTTTTAGGCATTTAGAAAGATTTTCCACTCAAATATTAGTTATGAGTTTTCTAATTAAAATATTTAATTTCAATCTTTAAATATTCAAATTTATAACTAGAAACAAAACAATTACAATTACTGTATAAAACGATATATAAAATAATTAAATGCAGTGAATGGAAATAAAATATTTGAATTGTGTACATGTTTATTTCAAACAGTGTTAGCTTTTCTCATTTCAATTCTCATGTCTCATTTCAAGTCATTTGAGGTTTGTTTGGTTGTCATCCAGTTTATGCTTAGTATTAGTTAATTGGTCTGAATCAAATGGGAACAGTGTAGTCAGTCACTAGGTACTAGTCAGTGTATTTAGAGAATAGAGTCTGGTAGATTTATACAACATAAAACTAATAGATCTAAATGGATAGTGTTGTGCACTGTGCTATCAGCTACCTATCTGTTATGTGACTCTTCAATGTTCAGAAGATCCACATTTGTGAAGTGTTGTTGTATATGAAGCCAGTTAAATGATCAATATTTAGCTCGTTGCCTTGCTCCATACAAACTTTACAAAGCCAATGAATGACATATCAATAATTGTATACCCAAAAGTCCCAAAGTGGTAAACACCACCTTGGCCATTCTTGAAAACAATAACTGCCCTTTTTAGCCATCCATATACCTACTGTTATTGTTAGTAGGCTAATTGCAACATAAATAATATGCGTTTAAAAATTACTTTTTTTAAGACAACACTTCCAAAGACAACACTTCCAAAGAATCCAGTGTCTCCAATCTTACAAATGTACAATGAATTTCTCATTTAATTTTCAAATTAAAAAATTAGTTTTTCAATTTTTTTTAATATATAAATTTTTNTACAAGACTATTCAATACTATAAGATGGTGTTCGGGAAAGACGATATTCTGATTTAGTTCTTACATTTAATTTTACGTGGTTGATAATTATATATGGCCTATTGTCTCGTTTGAAGGTAATGAAACATTCCTATCATAGACACAATATTTCGTGGCGGTTTTGGTTATTATTAATATCAATGCCGCTCACTTGACACAATTTTGCAAGTGGGCGGCCGTTTTCTTTAGGGTGGAGGGTAACTATTACTGATTAACTAGCATTTGTTATTGTAGGTTTAACAGATACGTGGCTGCCTACAGAAGATATTTATGCGATATGTAATTTTAATTGATAACGAAAAACAATTCGTGAACAAAATATATATATATAATTATAAATTTACGTATTTCAAAAAGCATTTTAGTGCACGAATTGGACCCTCAATGTTAAAACTCTAATTTGAAATCTAATTGAAGAGGACGTAGAATAAAATTATCTTCCAAGAGGCATCACAAATTGGGTCCAGGTCATTACTTCTATGATTTCGTATGTATTACGCTGCCTTCAAAACAACACAGCTCTCTATCAAGTCGGGCGTAGATTATTAGACAGCTAGAGCAATTTTATGTAAAGGTTCCGGACTGTGTAAGGTTTGCATTTCTTAGCCTTTAAATGATTTCAAATAGAATGAATGGTTTTAGAATGGAGATTTTATGATAATTTTAGTGCAATAGTGTTTAGTGGGATAATACGGTAAACAATTGACATGATTATTGACTTCGAATAAGGTACAAATTAATTTCAAGAATGTATTAATATTCCCTACCAGATATAAAAATATTTCCATTTGTTTAATTCATTATTCTACAGTACCTATCGACAGGCCCGGTAAACAATTGTGTACTACATCTGTGCCGACAGAAGAATGTACATCAAGATGGAGGGAAGTTACTAGCCTTAAAATTTACCTGTAGAGTAGACTATCGTATCAATTTATGTGGAAAAACTTTCGAAGTATTTTTCAATTAACCCAATGTCAGCATTGCGAGAAAAGAATGTTAGTTGTTCAATCCTTTTCATGTTAAGGTGTCGATGTTTGCTATACTTTCGAAAAAATATAAACAACCTCTGTTCCGTGGGTCTTTTTGCTCAAGAATAATAAGAGCGGTATCAGCGCTTAATAGACCGTAGGCCTGTCGCCGATTCTTAACATCGCAGAACATTCACAGCATTTTGTGGTCTCGAACTCACAACTCACTGCTACAATTCTGCTGTGCTTAACCGCCCGGCCTCCTTGCCGATTCTGACCAGAAACTGGCGCACTGAGCCGGCATCGAACCCACGCCTCTCTGCTCCAATCTTGGTACTCTGGAACTTTAACCACTGGGCCACCCTGCCCCTCAATGATACGACTCTTTCTCTAACTTTTGGGAGTTTCATTGTATTCATTTGTAATTTAGAGCAGGATATATATATATGTGAGATCTTTAGGTACTTTCCTATAGATGTCAAATCTGTGGAAAGAATTAAAAATTAACTCAATGTAGTTTCAGTATTTTGGATATCCAGATTTATGAGAAGATTAAAAATTTCAAGCATTTTAAAAATTAATTTGGAAATTTCATCAGAGTATCATGATCAAATCATCTGAAATTGTCAGAAAACTCAAAAGCTTACCTTCTAACATCAAAATTGAAAACCATTTTATATATTTATGAACTGTACCTAATATTAAAAAATATCTGAAAGAAAAATTTATTATTATTATTTGATATATTTATTGTCATGGTCACCTATTTGCATTAGCCATACAAAATTTGGTCATAAGCTTAGACCTGATGATCAGAATAACATGGATGTCAAATTGGATAAAATATATGACTAATATGAATATATGACTTATATGAGATTATTTGCAATGCTTTTCAATGGCCTAAAAATTAGTATCTTGCCTATTTATGCTTTGTTTTTTACTTGAAAATAATTCAAGTTTTTTTTAGTCTGTTAAGAAGAATTAAAATTTTCTCCCAAAGCACCATCAAATATCCTTTATGAGGTGAAAAGCATCTAACTACAGGTTGATATACTGTCAAACGGGGTAGAAAGGGACAGGCAAGGTAAATCGGGATGCGGGTCCCACATTTCGTAGAAATGTTGTAGCAGCTAAACTAATCAAAATATTGCAAAACTAAAAATAGTGGCGTAGACTTCAACATTTTTACTAGTACCTAGCTATTATGTATGAAGCTAGTCAAGAAATCAAACATTTACCATCTCTAAAAAATTGCTGAAAAAATGTGTGAAAAGTGCGATTTTGGAAAAGTACCTCTGCTAATGTCTGGAGCAAAATAATATATATTTAAAAATTACTTTTTAAAGAAAATTACTTTTTAAAGACAACACTTCTAAAGAATCCAGTGCCTCCAATCTTACAAATGTACAATGAATTTCTCATTTGATTTTCAAATTAAAAAATTAGTTTTTCAATTTTTTTAATATAGGTATAAATTTTTTATATATATAATTGTTTTCAAAATTATTTATTCTATTAATTGATTCATGCATTGCCTCTGGCTTCACACAAGTGTGCAAAATTTCAGATCAATCAGACAGGTAAAAGTGTGTCAAATATCAGTTATAAGATAAAAAGCAATTGAATATCATCTGAACTCCACATTGTTGGGTTCTTCTTAGAACCACTAGGTATTGTTCACACATCATGACAAATGCCATGATTAACTTGACCCAACATGCATCACAAGAACAGCACAGATGCTCTTACTATGGCTGCATCAGCCTACTGTCTGCTTCTCCAGCAAAATAATTAACACATCATTGTTCCTCTCGTCTCAGCCGCATCTTGGGCACATGCTACTGAAGCAGCTGAAGCAGCTATACACAAGGACAGTAGTGTGGGCAGTTCAAGCAGCGGATGAACTAGTGACCAGGGGCCATACTTTCAAAATTCACTAAGTGAACGTAAGTACTTACACTCTATTTGCTTGTCTATGATTGGTGGATTTGGCTTGAAAGGCCGTCAATGATTGGCTGATGAACTTACGATCTCTTAACTTTTTTTAAATTATAGGCCCAG